GGCTCACGAAGACGTTCTCCAGGAGAGAATTGAATTAAGAGGCTCACAAAGACGTTTCCCAAGAGAGAATTGACGTGCTTCACAAAACAAACTCTAGGTATGTATCCCCTCGGGGAACACCTTTCGATCCCCTCGGGGAACCTTTCGTGATTAGAATTTCATATGCACTCTTTCTGAGTGTTCAACCTAGAAAACCCAAGTATGCAAAAAAAATGTAATCGTGTCTTTTCCGGCAAAAAAGGTCATCTCAGCCAAGAAACGTCATTGTTTTGTAAAATTGTAGTTGCTGCGATCAAGCCAGTGGAGGGTATGCAACATTCATTTTTTCAGCTGCTTCCAATCCCAAATCCAGCCTCTTCTTACACCAAAAGGTAGTTTTTCACCTAAACTTAGGCTGTTTGAGTCGGTTCCGGCGAAAGTGCAAGGATACACCGTACCTTTCGATGGCAACCTGTCTACTGACACGGCTGATTCTCCCAATAATAAAAACTTTGTTGGCTGCGCAATGCCATTTAACTCACACGCAAAATTTGGACTGTTTGACAATTTCCCTCGTCTCAAAAGTGGTGTGAGAAAAATTTGGCGTTTGGGCCGAAGTCATACACAACCTGTAACGCAGTGCGAGCCCCTCTTAAGGAATCGAAACAACTACTACAGCGAGTTAGCTGTGTTTTGCTCCTGCAACTGCTGGAGAAGGGTGTCTTCCTCATCAGGGGGCTGCACAACATCATGTGTCGGGCAGGGCATGCCTTCAAAGCCCTCACCCCACACAGTGGGGCGCAGCTCGAAACCAAGGAGTTGATAGGAGCAGGCGTGGCCACATCAAAGGAAACCTGCATGTACCAATGTACCAGAGGCCCCTGAAACAGCAAAAATCTCTACATTCAAAACATCCAAACCGTGTCCGGCAATTTCCGCAATTTGTCCGGTGATTTCCGTCATTTGGACGGTAAATTCCGTAATTGTTTTTCGGCCACTCCTGCATGGAAGTTTAAATGTCCACTGAAAAAAACGGAAATCTCAGCGATTGCAGATCGAGCTGGGTTCTGTTTTCCCTTGCCCCAAGCGTTTCTCTATTATTCAGCTTTGAATGATCACCGCAACTTATCCGAATCTTCCAGGCAAGATGGAATCAAGGCATTCCATGACAAGCTGTTGGGATAAATTGACGCATCTCAAACACAGCATGCTCTCAGTGAAATTGGCTTCTGTCCGGTCGATTTCCAGGGCCTTCGCTTCGAAGTTCTTCGAGGGCAAAGGCAGAGCAGCTTTTCAACGTCTTGAAGTTTTGGCCACTCTAACCATGACTATATGAACTAAATAGATAGAGCTCGACCACTTTGAAATGGTTTCGATGGCAATATGGATCTCCAAAGCAATCTTTGCAAAACGAGGAAGTTGCAATTTGTGCACAGGGGGCATCATGTATCATCTAATTGCCCTCTGGTGATTGCAACATCCTCTGTGTACAGAAAGTAAGTACTGGCGCCCTGTTCATTTGCCCACAACTCCAGACTGGAGATCTCAGACAGAATGGTCCCATGATTTCTCCCAAACAAACAGCAGTAAGTATGCAAAAGGTAACAAAAGGTAACCAAAATCCAAAAAGGTAATTGTTATACAAAAAATACATGTTCAACAAAAAACTGTTTTTCTGAAACGACATTTTTTGGCATACTTTAGGTTTACTAGGAAGAGGGTTTCAACTATCCTGAAATCATGAGAGGCTCACGAAGATGCTCTCCAGAGAATTGAATTAAGAGGCTCACGAAGACGTTTCCCAAGAGAGAATTGACGTGCTTCACAAAACAAACTCTAGGTATGTATCCCCTCGCGGAACACCTTTCGTAATTAGAATTTCATATGCACTCTTTCTGAATGTTCAAGAGGGTTTCAACTATCCTGAAATCATGAGAGGCTCACGAAGACGTTCTCCAGGAGAGAATTGAATTTGGAAGGGGGGGTGGGTCTGTATTGAAAAATCAATTCCAAGGGGGGGGGTTGAATTGAATGATCAATTATTAGACCCGGACTCGCCGACACTTGCTTCGCAAGTCAAACTCAAGGTATCCCCTAAAGGGCTACCTTTCGTGACTAGTCTGATCATCCCGTCTTTGTAGCTTCTTGTTACTATATACTAGTAAGGCACTTGTTACTAGAAGCGATGCACTTGTTACTAGTAGCTTCTTGTTACTACTAGTAAGGCACTTGTTACTAGAAGCGGAAGCACTTGTTACTACTAGCTTCTTGTTACTACTAGGAAGGCACTTGTTACTAGAAGGGGAAGCACTAAAGCATCGGAATGTTCGAGTGAATGTGACCGAAAGACCCCACGTTCCTTCCACTTTCCAACAGCATCCACAGCTCCACGTCACCAACAGCGTAAAACAGCAAACCGACCCACCGGTGATCAGGGGCCAACCCGTTATCTGTCAACTTTAAATAGATCGATGTAATGTCTCTCATAGCATTTAGGTCTTTTATCGAAGTTCATGCAAGACAAAACTAGACGACGAGTGGCCCGAAAGCATTTTTCATCACGTAGGAAGTCAGAGTGTGATTTATCTGTTAATGTGTTCAGTGTGAAGTCTTAAGTCGAGTGAGTTGAGGCAGTGTGTGGGTCTCTGTGTGTGTGTGTGTATCTATGTCTGCGTGTGTATGTGTGTCCGAGTAAGTTGAGGCGGCAGTGCGTGGGTCTCGGAGTTTCGCGCGCTCGACACGCACGATCTCCGCAGAGGGTTGCACGCGCCCAGGACAAATCGCACGCTCGCCTGCATTTCGCGCACTCGACACGCGCGATCTCGGCAGAGGGTTGCGCGCGCACCGGACAGATCGCACGCTCGCCTGCATTTTCGCGCACTCGACACGCACGATCTCCGCAGAGGGTTGCGCGCCCACCGGACAAATCGCACGCTCGCCTGCATTTCGCGCACTCCACACGCACGATCTCCGCAGAGGGTTGCGCGCGCACCGGACAAATCGCATGCTCGCCTGCATTTCGCGCACTCGACACGCACGATCTCCGCAGAGGGTTGCGCGCCCACCGGACAAATCGCACGCTCGCCTGCATTTCGCGCACTCCACACGCAC